GGAGGAAGTAGAGTTCAAAGACATTAGGTAACTTGCCCAATACCAGTGGTCAGGAGACATCCAGGGTCTGAATCCTCCCAATTGGCTTCCATTGCTCTCCAGGACCTGGGAAATGGAACCCAGATGGGCATGGAACAATGTACCACGAGGAAGATATGTCAGGGAACTTGAGCTCCATTCTAGAACACAGTCTAATGGCTGTCTTTGACCAACAGCATAAATACAGCAGCCATCAAAAATGGATTATGATTACATATCCAACCCTGAAATCCAACCATGAGTTGGATTTTAGAACAATTAATGATTAAAGATTCCTCTTTAACAGCAATAATCAAAGAATCTGAACTATAGCCATGTAACAGTTTGGTCAGCATACTGAAAAACAAATTTTTCTGAAAGATAAATGGAGAAGGAAAAGACATTGAGCAAGATAAAAGTCACATGACTTAATCCCAAGATGGGCTCACAAAAGGAATGAGTATGAAGTATTAGGGAAAGAAACTAGATTACCTAAAAAACAGAACACAAAAGCTACCTCTCCTGGCTTTACTGGGTGGTACTTATCTGGAGGGGCTTCTTTTTGGTCTCTTTTATATAAAATTAATTATAAAGAAAATAAAATTTCCTTTATAATTAATACTTAGCATAATGTGTGTTCAAACATGAGATCCACTGAAAAATTTAATCCAAACCTGTGTTCTTTTCGTATTTTCAAAGTAAAAAGTGTCCTAAATATATAAATTGTACACCAGAATATCTGCCTTTCTTTCAGTAATTTACATAGAGAAGGCATTCTTTCAAATAATGAAATGGTATTCATTAAGTAGTTATGAGTGGTAAGAGGCAAAGGCTAGAAAAAGAAATCATAGTATTTCTAATAATGGAGCCTGTTTGTGTTGAGAGGAAACTCAGAGAATGCCAAGACAAAGGTTTCGAATAGTAGGATGAGTGAAAAAGCATGATGTATTGGTTCCATGAAAAGAAGGTAAGTGTGAACTAGAGAGAGGGCCTACATTCTACTACCACTTAAATGCTTACTATTATGAGAGCTAAAAACTCTTTAAAATGAATAAATGGGTTAAACAGAATGGGGAATACCATTTAAGTAGAACATTCTAACTTTGCTTCAGATTATGGGAATTCTATAAAATCACAAAGGAGAGAATTAAGTGAACAAAATAGTTTAATTTAATGGAAAATGTATTTCAAAAGAGAGCTAAAAAAATTTCTGTAGTTAAGTAACAGCATTTTGAATTAGGAGACATTTATATAAAAGCAACGTCCAAGAATAAAGTTAAGTGGTAAAAATTTTCAGAAAGACATAGAAAAATCCGAGCTAGAGACCTGAGGCACTTTAGGAAAAGGAACAAAGAAAATGTAAGCTCTCTCTTTATAGGAAATAATTAAATAGTAGAATTTGACCTAAATTAAAGGAAAACATTACATATTCTTATGAGTAGGAGCACAGGAAGACACACACACACACACACTCCTTACCTCAGAAATCCCCCCAAAGACTGAGATAAAAGTGTTACTTCTGTTCCTTTTCTAGTCCAGTTAAAACATAAATTACTGCCTATTGCTTGTTATCAATTCATACATATTATGGGTTAAATAGAAAAATTAATATTTGAGGGTATCATTTCTCTGATACATTTATTTAACTAAGTCAGAGGCACAGTGATTATTAAAATGAAGCATATCTCCAGATTACATAGTGTGTCATATATGCTAATATGACAAGAAAAGCCAGTCTTCACTAGTGTTCCCATTAAAAGATGCCCTTATAAACTCTAAAATTTAGTCCCCATTCCAGGAATTAAATTATACAGCAAAATATTTTCTCAAACTATGAAAGCCTTGTAAACTGTAAAAAGAATAAAAATTCATAATGAAAAATAAAATTTTTCCAATTATAAAGTTTTCTCACAAAACATCCATTTAGTTCTTAATTCTTTACTGATTTGATATAGTTTTTTTTGTTTGTTTGTTTTGTTTTGTTTTGTTTTGTTTTTTAAACAAGCCTGAGTGGTTAGGATTGTCTTTTTTATTCAAATTTCGTAAGAAAGGGAACCACAGTGTACATTCCCTGACTACATTGTGTGTGTGGCCTACTTATTCGAAATGTTGGATTCCATATAGATTTCCTCTCTTTTACTTACAACTTCCAGAAGGATTCTCTCTAACAATTAGCAACTCAAAGCCAACCAATTTGGAATCTAGGCCCTGAGAGTATGTTAACCTCAGGGATACCACCTGCAATGTTCTCTAGAAGGACCATGGAAGACAGGCAAAACTGAAACTTCTGTGTGAAGCAAGAACCAAGTGTCAGGCACAAGTGGGTGGTGGACTGAGGTCAGGATTAAAGTTCACAGAATAATTTGGAATTTATTCTCAGCTTGGATCTCCTTTATGAGGCCTGAGAATACACCCTTTAATTAGAATACAATTTCCAAAGCAGCCACTCCCTTGACTTTCCAGAGCTCGGTTATTCTCAGAAAAGTAAAAACAGCCTCATCATACTGACAGCTAACAGTTCTCTATAAATTATGCCTTAAATGCCCAACAAAGAAGGCAGCAGGCATCTGGGACAAAGAGATCTTAACTGTCAGCCCTCACTAACCACTCTCAAGAATAGATAGAGAAAAAGAAGTCATATTAAACAGAGTCACTCTAGCTCACTGCTTGCTTATGCAGCTGACCCTGTCCCATGGAAGCTTGGAAAAAGAGTGGGTTGTATATTTGCAAATGTTCCCACACCCCAGCTGGCCTCATTTTTTCTGCTGATCCCTCCATCCAGTCAACCTCACAGTAATATCAATTCTATGAGAGCCAGCTGTCTGCCTCTTCCATGGTGCTTGGGGAGCCACACAGGACTCCTCAAACAGGAGCCAGTCTGATCCTGATTCACCACAGATGTTTGCCTCCTCCCCATGCAGCTCTGATCCAGAGCCTTCTTTCCAGGGTCTATTGTTATTATGAAAGATTTATTGGGACCCAGAAATGTACTAGATGTTGAATCAAGAGGAAAACACACATCTCCCTAACTGCAGGGTTAAGAGTGACAAACATTACAATATGTGGAGATGGTCAAAGACTCTGTGAGAAAGGCCAAAGAAGGAAATTCAGGAAGTTGAAATATCAAAAGCTATCACAATATCAAACTTTCAAATGCTATCCAGACTTGAGTTGGGTTTAAAGATGTCATAAAATTTTCCATTTCAGCAAATCCAGATATCAAATATTCCTGTAAACACAATAAGCTTGTCTTTGTCTGGAAATGTGTGACAAGGAAAATAACAAAAACAGAGTTTTTGAAATTTGTTAACAGAATCCAAAGTCCAATGTTACCCACACACTCGGAAATTCTTGCCAGCTTATATTTCAAGCAGGAGCAACATTATTGTTATTGGCCTTTATATTTTTTATATCTATTCATCTGTCAGTGTTCCTAGTTGCCCTCCCAAGTGGGGTAATCAATCTGACTCTCTCTCCCTCTCCCCTCTACCCTCATTCCTTCAATGCATATTAGTAGACAACTAGACAGTTGTTCCCAAATGCCCCAGTGTCCCCTGGTATAGGCTTCACCATTATCTCAATTTAAAAAAAAAAGTCTTACAATTTTCAATATTTTCATCACTGTCCACTTAATCTAGGTAGACAAGAGAGTAGTTTATTTTAAATCCATTCCCTTTAATTGTAGGAATTCTGAAACTAAAATGAGCTTCATCAAATAGCACAAAAACAGTTAACATATTAAAGATGACTCTCCAAATCCTTATGCAATACTGCTTATATTTCAATTTTTGTCTTAAGAGGACTTATTCATGCTTTCTTAGTGCAGACCTTGGGAAGGGAGTTAGTATGGAACTAAATTAAATGTAACACATACTTAAAATTCTGTGACTATGAAAAAAACAGAAAAACAATCATGCTCCCCAAGGTGGAAATAAAATTATTTCTAAAATATTTTCTAGCTCCAACTCTCTAGTTGTTTAGGAAATCACAGATAAAATAAGTCAGTATCTCATAAAAGTATGTTTCACAACAGTAAGTCAACATTTAGATAGAAGATAACCAATATATATGTTTGGAGAATAAATGTTTACTTGAAATAGCATTTTACTTGATTTTTTCTTTGGAAAAAGCTGTATAAATTTGCTCCTCACTAATTTGCTTTCCATCCCATTCTCTAAGAAAAAAATGTAAAAATCCAAAGTGGTTCTAAAATTAAACTAAAACACATTCACTTTGAGAGCTTTTATTTGAAATCTTGAAATGTCCTTCAACAGTGTTCTTCCAAGTGTGGCACAGCAGTGATCTTTATACTTACACCTGTACTACAAAGAATAATGCATTATATGGTAAATTTATCTGGAACCCACCTGGGGAAACACAGTGACCAGAACCTAAGTTCCAAAGGAGAACATGATGGGAAATCAGCATTCTCAATAGCACCCAAAAGATTTTGGTATTTCTGGATATTTCCAGAGTAAAATGAAAATATACCAAAACTTTTGTATATGTTCTACACAGCAATCTTAGGAAGAGAATAAAGAGAAACCAAGTATTGATAAAAAAATATCAATTGTAAAAAAGTTTGGGTCATTTGGCTTAAAAGAAAAGGGACCAGAATCACATTACCAAAGTAGTACTTATTATCCTTTAGCTCTTTTTTTATCATTTTAGTTTCACAGTCCACTTAGAATTCTCTGGCTTTCACTTAGTCACTGCTCAAGAAGGCATTCAGTTTTGTGTAAATTTCTCTGAGAACTGAGTCTAGAATTTACAGGTCAATTTATCTCTCTTAAAGAAAGAAGGAAAATTGATGGAGTATTATTTATAGCCCTATATTATAAAATACTCATGAGTACACTTTCAGATAAACTCTGAAAACTCTTGATTTACAGGTTTCCAGCAAAATTATGATACAATTAACTCAGAGCATATTATCACAGTCATATCCCCAAATCACTGCAATTTTCTTTACAAGTACTTACTTACGATGAGTTCATCATCTGAACAATTTCCCCAAATGGACCGGTCTTGCATTTCTCCATGTGTGAGGCAGCTACCGGTGGCTTGAGTTACATCTCTCTCAGTATTTTCTTTATCACATTTTTCTGAATAAAAATATATTTATTATAATTAAATGTTACATATCTTTCTATTTTTTTAAATTTATATATTTTTTTTTTCTAAATGCTTCTAAATGCACCAAAATTTAAGAAAATTGGCTTGGCACCTTTAGTGACTGTTGCACACACTTTGACTCAGTAACACATTTACTGAGTACCTACTACTTGCCTAGCATTACAGAAACAGGTGTTTACAATAAAATAATCTGTCAAGATCATTGTTAACAAATCATTAGAACACAGCAAGTGATCTGCATGACAGAGAAATGTGGAAAGGTTACACCAAGGATGAAAATGAGTTAAGTCCATACAGGCAGAGAATAAGAGCAGTGGAAAAGCACCAAAGGAGAAGAGACTCCAATGAGGGGTAGAGATGAAAGTCAGGCTGCACTGGAATGGGAAGTGAGTAAGTATGGAGTTTTCTTCATAGAAACTTGAGAAATAGTCAAGAATTGTGTTATACATTCTCAGAGAGGAAAGGTGTTTCAGATGAGAGATCTATACATGGATTTATAAGTTCTCAGGGGAAAGCCAGTAAGTAAGGAAAAGAAACAGTTTATTGAAAACATAACTAGAAGACAAGGTTAAAAGCATGTAATGAGAGGTCTACAGCACTAAGGGTGTTTAATGGACTTTAAAAGACTAGTGAGAATTCTAAAAATAAAGATGGGAGAAAAGTTCTTCCACGTGGAAAAACAGCATAGGCAAACTCCAATAGCAGACACTTGTGCAATGGTTCCAATCCTGGACTGAAGTACTTTAAGAGGAACATTAGGTGATAAGACAGTAAAGGTTTGAATAGTAACATAGAATAGATGTTTTAATGTTAAGATGAGAAATCTGGACCTAGTTTAAGAGCAAGACAAATAAGTAAAAGTAGCCATTAAAGCTTTATGAATTGCCTAATCAGAGCCATGCATTAGAAAGATTAATAAAATTGTACACACCAGTGGTTCTCAATCCTGATTGCACTTTAACTCATTTGATCAGTTTTTTAAAAAATAGATTTCTAGGCCACATCAACAAAGATTCTATTTCAATTTAGTGGAGGGGTTGCTTAGGTGACCCCACTGCAATTACATCCTTAAGAATCAATGAAGTATGGATGTAACAGGGAGAAAAGAGTAAGGGAAAAAAAAGGGAGACTTGCATAGTCCAGGTGGAAGTTTATGACAGTTTAATTAACTGCATAACAATATGGAAATGGGGATAGACATGAGAAAATAACTAGAGGCTTGAACAGATAATCGAGAAGGTGGGATTGGAGATGACTGAGTTCTCTTAATGGAGACTTGACTGAGAAAACCTGGAGAGCAAGAAAATAACATATTATGTATATGTATATATATGTATATACATATATAAACATTATATATATATACATAATGTTTAGGCAATTGTTAGGCAGTGGGGATACAATGAATCACAAAACACAGCCCAGGCCTTCCTGGAGTTTACAATCCAGTGGATGGGTTTAGTGTTAGGTATTTGAATTTGCAAAAAAAAATTAAAATTATAGCTAGAAAGTCACCTTCCTAAACTTGATTGCTAAAGCCATCCAAATGACTAGGCTCACCAAAAGAGTGACTATATGAAAAGTAGTGCATCAAGTGGGGTCTGTACAATTAGAAAGAATTAAAGAAGAGAAGCTATATGATGTCAAGCCATGGGAGCAAGAAAAGAGATTCAAACAAGTTGTTAGTTAATTGTATTAACACTCCCAATGGAAGGAAAATGTTTCTGCACATGCAGAATTTTCTCTTGTACCATGGGGATTTCTCAACAATTAAAAAGTTCTGATGTGAAACACATTTCAACACATGAATATAGATGGACACCCATTTAAGACTAAATCCAGTGGCTAAGAGCTAAAAAAAAAAAAAACAGGTCTTTAATGCTAAGTATTTTTTTTTAACAAAACCAGCCCTGACTAATATGTGGCTCAGTGGGGTGGGCACTGTCCCACAAACTGAAAGGTAGCCAGTTCAATTCCTGGTCAGGGCACATGCCTGGGTTGTGGGCCAGTTGGGGACATGCATAAGGGAGCCAATCAATGTTTCTCCCACACATAGATGTTTCCCTACTCCTTTTCCCTCCCTTACTTACTCTTTCTCTAAAAAAAATAAATTTTTTTAAAAAAACAAAACCATATTCAGATAGCAGTAAAATATAAATTAGAAGTATGCTAAATGAACAGTTCTAGATTTACGTAACATTTACTCAGCATTGTTACAGAGAAAATTTTATCTTCCTGAGATTTGTTAGTTTCATTTAAAATCTTTACCTTTATAAACAACTCCAGACATGTTTCCACTGCCACAGTCAACTCAAGGCCTTTCTGAGATTATCAACAGAAAAGACATTTATACAAACTCACTCATACACATGAAATCTCTGATCAGCAAAGCCCAACATTATTTGCTGTTACTGTTATGTAGCTGACTGCCGCCAGGTGTCATGCTAGTAGGCTTAATTCAATTAGTGACTTTAATTGAAGCAGAATCAAATTAATTATATAATTTCGAGCTGTTCAAGTTTAATTCCATTAAAATTAATTCATGAACCAGGGCATTATGAAGTATTGCTGACTAGAAGAAAATAGGTATGAATAAAGCCTCTAGACACACTTGACTTACATTTGAATCATGTCCAATATTCAAGAGCTAAACAGAGAACCTCTCAATACTCCACTGAATCAATGAGATTGTTATGTGGTCCATATATACACAGATTTAGTGGTGATCCTCTACTAAGAGGAAAATAAAATTCTTCCTGCTCTAAATATTTATTAAGAAACAGCTTATCACGTAATTTTATTTTTCAGTTTCCTTATGTATGAAATTCTGAAATTAGTTGATCTTAGAATCCTCCTTTAAAAAAAAAACCTAGCATTGACTATCTTATTATGTTCAAGAAATAATAAATGACACGTAATTACTACAAAATCAATCACAATCATCAGTCTATCCAACTTTGCCTCCTTTGAGAACTAAATGTCTTGGTTTAAAATTAGGCATCAGGCTTCTGCTATGATCTATAGCATGCAGCCCAAAGGAAGACTCAGAAAAGATTCCATGTATAAAACTTAAATTGGCTATTGCCAATTCTCCACTCTACAAACTAAACTTCTGTGATCATTTGACTGTTCTATGATTTTCTAATGTATGCACATTATTTTATTAACATCTCTTTAATATTTAAGAAATAGCCTTGGTTGGTGTGGTTCAGTGGACTGAGTGCTGGCCTGGGGACCAAAGGAACACTGGTTCGATCCCCAGTCAGGGCACATGCCTGGGCTGCAGGCCAGGTCCCCAGTAGGGGACCTCCCTCTAAAAATAAATAAATAAAATCTTAAAAAAAAAAAAAAGAAATAGTTATATAGCAGCCTCATAAATGGTGCACAGTTACATCTAACATTGAAGAAATGCAAGGAGAGTGAGATTTAATCAACAGGCAATTTTAAGGTAGGCATCAATATGTCCAGCCACAGAACCAACCTTACCACAACTTTCAGTAGTTTAGGTCAGCCGCTACTCATTACAATGGTAAAAGAGTAGTTTCTAATGGGAGATTTCTGTGGTCACTGTAGGCTTGTTGTGTCACCTCTGAATTGCACAAGCAGAGGCCACAGTGGTCCTGGTTTAATCAATTCCTTTCTGTATTTATGGAGATTTATAGTTTCAATTCAACTATCACATGGGCCTGAAAGACATATGCTGCAGGCAAGCAAGGGAGTTCAATGATGTATGAAATCAATCTATATCTTTCAATAAGATTTCTATTATATATATACATACAACAAGCATTCCTCCCCAACTTAGTAATTGTCTTAAAAGGGAAACATCATTTCAACCATGCTGTTCTTCTAAGCCAATGGTTCTCTTTTTCATTTTTGTTTTTTGTTGTTGTTGTTGTTGGGGTTTTTTTGTTGTTGTTGCTGTTGTTGTTGTTTTTGTATTTTTTCTTGTAGCGCTCTTTAAACATGCACAGGTCCCAACCTCAGAGGTGTCCATTTGGGTAGTGTAGGGGTAAGGGAGATGTCATTATCGTATATAGCCAGGTTATATTTAGGTCACTGTTCCAAATAAGCTCTTCTGTACTAAACGATTTAGAGGATATTTAGAAGAGTCTATCAAATATTGAGATACAGATCTTGCTTGTCATCACCTTGTCACAGTATTCCAAGTAATCAGAAAATACAATTTTATCTAATTAGCAGTTAATACAGATATTTAGTTCTGCCTCCATGTCAGCTCAACCATGAGAATACAAAACCTGAATTATATATAATGCTAATCAGTTGTACGAACAGGTGAATATGTAATACTTTTTAGGTATTGAAATGAAAAGTGAAGACACTTTAAAATAGCATTAGACCAAAGTATATCACTGAAAGGCTAGCTCCCAGGCATTCTAGTGTTCCTACTCCGAAAACAGAAGTGCAGAAGAACCTTTGGATAAAGAAAAAAAGCTTTGATCCTGCAACAAATCCTCTGGCTGTGAAAGCCAAACATCCACGTGAAACAATCAAGCAACTACAAAACAAAAGGTAATGAAAACTGCCCTGGGTAATAGTGATGGCTCAAAGACTGGCCAGCTGTTGTGACTTGGGCTAGCCTCATTATCTTCTATGGGAAATGAAGGCATTGAGCTGGATGCTTGCAGAGGCAACTTTTTGGCTCTAAAATTCTGTAAATCTGACTCTGCACAAGATCTAAACAATAGAACCAAAACTTCATACCCACACTAAAGGGTAGTTAGAATGAAGTAAAGCAAATCATAGAAAAGCCTTCATAAGGCATTGGATTTGAGTTTAAAGTAACAAGCATGAATTAAGCAAAAGAATACAAGGAAAAAAAGAGTTTTAAATGATAAATTTAAATACAATATGTCTTATTCAGAAATGACTATCTTACAGGATCAATACTCTTTATTTTACACTATTTTTCTAAAGGGAATGAGTGGTGAGAAGTAACATCTTTCCA